TTAGTTGAAAGACTTTCAAGATAAAAGCCATTGTGTAGTGTGCTTGGGAAAGAGAAAGCACAAGGAAAGAGAGCTTGGGTTAAGATCTATGAAACTTAGATTGCTTACATGAGCAACATGCACCATTCTACTTTAGATGGAATTTAAATTTTAAACTTCATCCATCAGGTTCTTTAAACAAACTTAGATGAACTGCAATAAATCGGCTTGTCATCTTTCGCATCCTCATTACCAGTCTCTGACCAAGTTCTTGTATGGGTTTTGTGAACCTTAGGGCATGATAATTAACACGACAGCGGAGTTTTGTAACTCATCATCAAGGTTATTTGCAAGTCTATAATCAATTTCGTCAATTGCACAACCTGCAAAACATCCCCATTGTTCGTTACTGAGTGCAAAAGCTTCATAATGACAAACATATATGAAATTCAAAGCAAAATAATTCAGGAAAACAGGAGTCCATCCCCATATCGATAGCAGCCTTACCCGTCTCCTTAAGAGGATTGCAACACTTGATCAAGATAATATTCCGGCTCTGATTTCCTCGGGACACGCATTGTATATGGTGGCTTTTCCATTGACCGCATGATCTTATCAGGAACTCTTTTGACAATAGGAACATCTTTTGCAAGATAAGAAATGAACCAAGAAATGTCGAAAATGTTGATGAAGTCACTGCATTCAAATAAAAGTCTCGAGTAAAAAAACACTAAACTTTTCTTACCAACTCTAACCTAAATAACAAAAGGTTGATAAAAATCGGCTATGTACCTGTCATCTTTCCAGTAAGATTGATGATCCAGCTCAGGTACAACTAGAGTAGCATTAAGAATTCGTGCAACAACTACAGCATCCGTTATCTGAACATGATGGTCATTTCCTCATAAGAAGTCTTTAATGACAGAGTTAAAATCATTAAAAATATTTATTAAAGGTGTGAATGATAATTAAACGAGTGACCAGAAGTTCGTTGGCAGCACTCTCTAGAGGGATGGTTTGTAGGATATCATAAAACTTATGTCCTACTTACCCCAGTTCTTTGCTGGTTCAGTCCTCCACTAGCTGCAATAAGCAAGTAGCCATTTGAAGATCGCTCATGCACAGCAGCTACATTATCCAGTAACCAAAATAATAGAGCATGATAAAAGTCATTTGTTTAGAAGTAACACAAACGATAATTATTAGAAATTACATAATACAGCATACATACTCCACCAGATAACATCAGCGCATCTTGCTCAACTAGAAACAGACGTGATAAACATGCAATGAGATTTTCAAAGTACTTTAACATTACAAAACACCCCCCCCCCAAAAAAAAAAAAAAAAACTTCCTTTTCTTGTTTCAACGATTCCATTGGTTTTGACCACCTCCTAGCCAAACTTGCAAAGATGTCCAGCAAGACAATTGTTGCAGTTTAGCCCCATGCAGAAAACAAATTTGACAACGGACAGAATGGGATAAAGTACAACTACATGGCACATGGAGACTCACTATGCTCAGCAGAATTTCTAAGAAACGTCATTTGTGCCTAAATCTTATTATATCATCAGTCATCACATTGAGTAGGTTGATAAAAGTATCACCTTAACGTACTTTGGGTCATAAATAAATTGAAAAATCAAATTAAAAAGTTAGGAGCAGCCAAATAACGCTATAAATGGCATTGGCGCCAGATAGTGACTTCAATTTTGGTCCAGACAAACACTGACCAAACACTGAATGGCAATTCGTGCAAGGAAATGCATCCCCGTCGCTATGGTCACTTGGAAGATATGGAATAAGGAACAGAAAGAGGTGGTAAATTAACTTACGAGCAAAATGACGTCCTCTTTCACTGCACCCATAGTAGTATCTAGAATATTGTGATTTCCAAATATCAACTGGCGCACGGTACTCCCCATGCTACAAAGATTCACATCAATTTACTTTTAATTAATATGGATGTCGATGAAGATATGCAAACAAAATCACAACCATAATCTCTGTTGGGGGCTGATAATATATATCAGAAACCACATTGGTACTAAAATCAAGACAATAATGCAGGTAACAAGTTTCCAATTTGAAACGCCTCAAACCCAACATTACCCATTCAATTGCGTAATGCGGACGCACGCGCTGGAATTCACGCATACGCAGACAAACAATGATTACCTGTCTGTAGTAGAAAGTGCGCTGAACCAATCGTTGAGAGTACCATTCAAGATCAGAGGCCATATGACCTGTTAAAAGCGAAATCAAGCCCAACGCGAATAGCATGAAGCCGCACACCACCGACCAAGAGGTCGGCTTCCTCTGCTGCAATGACGTCGGCGCCGTCGTCATCGATCTCCAGCACACATGCTTATTGATATTCGGGTGCTGTAACAGAGCCAGGTTCGTCGATAACAAGCTAAACCTCCAGGCCTTGGACACGCCCATTTGGGGTCAAAACGACAACCCCCAAATCGCCATCACACCTTTCACTTCCAGAAGCCCATTTGTTTCGGAGCTGCGACAAAACTGAGACACTGCAAGCAGTGGAGAAGAAGCCCGGAGAGAGAAAGAAGAGAATACGTAAACGCAAGCAATGTGAATGTGAAAGGTTGGGAACAAAGGCTGCAACGTTCCAGATTTCGTGGGAACCCTAATTTAGGGTTTTTGTGAGCGATAGATTAATCACTGTAGAGTGTGAAGTCCTTGGAGTTAGCGACCATGGATGCGGATGCTTTCCAGAGAGAGAAAACTGAGCAACAGAGAGAAACATAAGAATGCCTTTTATACCGTTGTTTCAATATGTTCAAAGCGGTATAATCAAACTGCTGAGGTCTGTGTGGGAAAGAAAGAGAATTAAGGAAATAATATATTAGTAAACAGCAAGCTATCTGACATTCATCAGATAATTTCGCGATCTTGACATTAAATAGTCAATGATCAAGGATTTTCTCGCGGGTAAAAGGCGAGAAAGTTAAAGAGAAAGAAAACGAAAAACAGAATTACGCAAATGCAAGAACAAGACGGGAAAGGTAGATGCTTTCCTTTCACCTGGTTAAAAGAAACCATCGGCAACTAACGAAGTTGACACCGTTAAAAAATATCGGAACTTGTCAAGGTTAAAATTGGAATAGCAAAAATTAGTTTCCATTATTTTATAAAAGATTGTTGTCCTAAATGCACTAAGATGTCGGGTGCGTAAAATGGAGCTTAAAAAAAAAAATTTCCACACTAAAATTTTTTTTTGTTCTTGTTTGAAAAATAGACAAATAACATGTATATTTATTTTAGACAATAATAAAATCTGTTTCTTTTTATAATTTATACTGTCCAACAAGAAGGAAACAGTCAAAGCTCCCCACAATCATGATAGGTTTAATTATATATATAAAAAAAACTTCATGGTCAAATATAAGTAACAAAAAATTAGACATGTCTATTAAAAAACAATTTAGCATCTAAAAAATATTTTATATACTTCTAATAAAGATAAGGGGTTTTGACAACAACAAAAAAAAAACATAAAAATAAGCTGCTGATTGGATGATCAACAAGTATTGATCCTAGTGAAAAAGATTTTGATATACTCCTCCGGTCCTTAATATAAGACCCATTTAACTAATTTGATTAGATTAAGGAAGTTAGGTAAGTTAGTTAATTATAAGAAATGTGAGACATTTTTCCTGAAACACCATAATCATCTTTCTTAATACTCACTCTTCCTCTTTCTACTTGATTATGGTTGAAGGAGTATTCATAGGGATAATTTAGAGAAAATTGATAAATATGAAAAATAGGTCTTATATTTAAGACCAAAACCAACTCTACAATTGAGTCCTATATTAAGGACCGGAGGAGTATGAGATTTTGAGTTTAAATCTTTATGAATATAGAAAATACTTTTAAAAAAGTTAATTCCAATTAAACTCGAGACACTACTCGAATGTGAGTCAACTTATATTTAATAGCAAAGTATTCTCCTAATTTTTATACTCCTCCGGTCCTTAATATATGACCCAATTTTTGAGTTAACTTTGGTCCTAAATATAAGACCCATTTCTCATATTTATCAATTTTCTCTAAATTACCCCTATGAATGCTCCCTCAACTATAATCAAGTAGAAGAGGGAGAAGGGTATTAAGAAAGATGATTATGGTGTTTTAGGAAAAATGTGTCACTTTTCTTATAATTAACTAATTTACATGGGTCTTACATTAAGGAGCGGAGGAGTACTACATAAATATATACCACTAGTATTTATTGACACAAGAAGTGGCTTTGACTGGGCTTTAAGTAAGTGCTGCCTGTATTAAGACCAGTGGTTAATGTACTCATGACATCAAAGTTCAAACAAGTAGAGCCAGGTAAGCTTGTTGGCATTAATCCAGTCCAAATTTCTCAAAGGCAGAACTATATTAACAGCTCGAGATTATAAGTTAGGTTGAATTTGCGATTTTTTATTTAAAAAATAGTTTTCATACCACTAAATTATAAATTCATTAACAACCCAACTCAAATCTTACGAGTACAACTTAGCTTTTCAATAATAGTTATATTTGTATATTGCATCTATGTGTATACACATTTATATATTCCAGCCAATCTACAATGTAATTCACTTTTAGAAGAATGATTTTATTCAAAATATAAGTCACTTGAAAAGTAATTAATACTCATTTGTTAATTTTGTCCCTGCAGTTAATGTTTAAGTATAACTCTTTGTATTTTTATCTCTCATTCATAACCTCATTTAATATGGACAAAAATGGGAAAATAATTTTAATTTCAAACATATTTAATGAATTAACTATCATTTTGTAATATTAATGAATTGATTAAAATGATTTATATTACAAATAAAAAAAGAACATGGAGTCCTTTTCATCATTCAACCACTTGCGTCAATTCTCAACATCCAAAATGAATAACTTTATGAAGACTAATTGAATTTCTTTCATGAGGACTTGTTAACTTCATAGTGAGTGAAAGAGAGGAAGAAATTTGTAGGGCTCACAGGCTAAGATGCCTGTGGCGTAGGGCCAGTGCCATATTAAAGCTCGCTGACTTTCACGCCCTCACCACTCACCAGCTCACAAACTTATATGCACAGCCAAAAAGGGGCAATAGGAGTACTCCTATAAGAACAAAGTTAATATAATTTTAAATTTTTATTAACCTTATGTTAAAATTTAACAAATTTTTAATTTTATTTATATTTAATATATATTATATTTTGTGAGAACAAATATAATATAATGTAATAATAAATAATAAATAAAATTGTATATTTATTTGAGAACTTTATCTCTCTACCTTAGAAGTAGGGTCAAAGTAATATCTCTAAATAAACGGTTTTGTCAAAAACATTTTATGGTAAATATATAGATGTAGCTTAATAGTTAAATGTTGTTGGCCAAAAAAACTAAAATTAATGCTGATCACTAAATTGCAACTTGGTGGGTGTATTTTAAGCAAAACATCTTTTTTATTGTCTATATTTTCAAGTAAATTCTCTTTATCATGCGTGCATTAGTTGAAAATATTTTATGATATCAAACGAAGGACTGAGCGTATTGCTTCTTTTCTTTCTTTTGTTTCTTTCTAAGAGGTTGCTTACCATAGTAATTAAGTGGGGAATTATTCATAAAAATCCAATTAAAAAACTATTTATTTCTAAGCATCTCAAATGCTGTATACTGGAACAAACATTTGTAAATTTTCATACTGAGTGTTGAATTTTGGATTTGATCCTTCGAAATAAATACTTCTTTCAAGCTTGTATATAAAGCATTTCTAGCATTATCATCGAAACCAAAAAGACTCATCATTTCTGTCTAAAAATTAAATAAGTTTTAAATTTTATTCTTATTTAAATACATATTACCTTAGAAAATGAACCAAAATTAATTATGGGTGTTATAAAAAAATGTGTAATAAATATTTCATATGATATCTTTGCAAAAACAAAAAAATATTTTTTTTTTCATATATCTTATAAAAGAGAATGAAGAGAGTGGTTTCTAAATTTGGTGTGTAAAGAAATTTCCCCGTAAAAGAAGCAGAAATTGAATGATGAAGGATGGGAAATGATGCTTTTCTTGTGTGGAAACGCCAAAGGAACCTTCAAGTGTAAAGTGCTTTGATAGCATCTTTTCTTCAAGGGGTCCCAAGAACACTTCTTCGTCTATGGCCCCATGCCCTAAACACCCTCTCTTCTTTTACCTTTTTTTCCAACTTTGTGTTGCTTTATTTCTCTCCAACCCTATTAAATTAAATTAATGTGTAGGGTTAATAAAATTTGTTATCTTTTAAGTTTGTGCTTATTTTGGTTTTGGTCTCTCAAATTTTAAACCATAAATTTTGGTCTCTAAAAAATAAAACGGTCTGAGTTTTTATTGAATTATATGAATCAATATTATAAATGAAAAATAAGTTGAGGAACCAAAACCTCAATGAGGACAAATTTAATAGACCAAAGTTTGAATTAATCCCAATGTTTAAATGAAAAATTTGTCAACAATTCATTTTTTTTTCACTCTTACGCCTCTCATGTTTTTTTTTTGGACACTTTTGAGTTATAGAACCCGTAATCTTCTTTATAAAACAGAGGGTTGAGGCGTTATTGAACTAAGAGATATTTAGCCGTTGTCTTACTTTATATTCCTTCAAATATTATATATAAAGCACAAAAAAAAATGAACTACATAGAAAAGAATTAATTAAAGTTGATTAAAAATAATAAAAAAATATGTACAAAATGTTTTATTTTTTAAAATACTCTTATTTATCGAGAGTGAAATAGTGAATAAAATAATTAACTTAGTCATGTAATATGTCATTAATGGGGGACAAAAATGAATAAAAATACTTTTTATGTCTCTTGTTATAATATTCAAATTAAACAACCGAGTTACGTGATTTAAGAAAAAGATTAAAATTAATTAAAAATAACAGATGCATAGGAAATGTAATTTTGATTTTGGGTTTTGTCCCTTTTTATTAAAAAGTGAAGACAATAAATAATTAAAAGCCAAATAAATACGACTCCATCATTATCATTCCGGTTGCGATGGTCCTGGATGGATACGGTCATTTAATTAAGAGCCTAATTTATTATATTGGCGACTAATTAATTATGTTTAACCCACCGCGCCGACTCATTTGCAATGAATCTAGAAGCGGCGCTAGCATTCCCCTATTCTTTCAACTTGGTAGACACATAATTAATTATCCCAAATTCATTAAGTCAATATTAATTAATGCTTTTAAATTGATCTCCCAGCCTTTTATATACGTCTGGAGAAGTTTCATGACTCAAAAGTTACTCCTTCCGTCTAAAATTATAATACAGATGTAAAAAATGTACTAATGTTTAAAAAATAATAAGGAAATTTTGAGTTTTTAGGAGTACTTAATGAATTTTTTTCCAAAAAAAAAAACATTTCTTATAGATTATTAGAAATCAATTAAGAAGCTGCCATTGTGTTACTAGTGATGAAAATACTACCTCCGGTTCTAATTATGAGAACCAGTTGACTAATTTGAGAAAATT